ACAGAGCTAGAAACTTCTATGAGCTATCGAATAGCGGGCCACCTACATAGAGGTTTAACGAATGAATAAGACAGGCATGCTTGTTCTAATCTTGAAATCCGGGGTGCCAGAATTGATCTTTGAAGATGTCACTGTGCTAGAACTTCGGCTGATTGTCATATAGCTTGATTTATTGTATAACCTCGACAATCTCCTCATACCTCTCAGACTCGAACTCCTCAAAACTCTCGCATACCATTGTACTCCAGTCCGGCTCTCCTTCATCCCTATATTCCTAGTTCATTCTCTCTTTATCCCATTCACTGTAATCCTCTGCCGCCTCCCCATACTCAATCAGCTTAGTGAGTACTTCTATAGTTCCTTCTGACAGCTCCATATCTGCTTTGCCCTCCTCCTATTCATTTATCTTCAAACTCTCCTAATCTGGAACCATATGGACGGGAATATTAGCATCAGGGGGGGTCTTGTACTGTTTCCTCAGATGTTTCTAGCTATAATAATGAATCCTGGCTTTGTAATTCTTTAGATTGCTCTTTCTCATCTTATGGAACGGTTATCTTAGAACGAGTCCCACATTCTCTTAAGTACATTTCATCGGCGTATTCCTTTGGCATGCTATTGTCAATATACTGCATTAAGATACGCCGTGCTTCAGGACCTTCGAAGTTTTCAGCTTGCAACCAGGAATTATGCTTTGCAGAATAGCGGTACCATTTGGTAAGGTACTCAATTTACCCAGATTTAGGATTGGTCCTGTGGCCATGCAAGGATTCAATTTCATACAATTAGTCATCGGGGTCATTCTTCTATTTCTTCTTCTTAGTTTGGGCAGGATTGGGTTTCTTCTTCGTCTATGACCGTAATCTAGTATTCATTAAGTGTTTATAATTTAGCAATTTCTTAATTGGACTTAAAATCACCAAAATTAGCATGTAAATCAAGTTGGCAACATAATTAAATTGGTGAATTTTGAAATTTGAATTAATCGGTTTAATTAATTGGGTGTTTCAAATTTGACCGAAAAATTGACCTGTGGTTTTGCAAACGAAATGGAAGTTCTACAAACAATTAGGGCAATAGATCAAAGTTTCATTATACGTGAAGTCCATCTCATGGAGCTATCAAATCCGTGACAGACAAGTGCTCGGGGGGCTGAGAAAAATGCAAAATACTGAAAATGCTCTCCCTCGTCAAATCTGCAATAATGAATTAATGAAACCGATTAATTAAAAATGTTGAAATTTACCTTGTAATCAGATGTCTTACAATGCAAGATCATTT